GCCGCTGCGGTTTTGCCACCGGAGAAAGGGTCCCTCGGCGCGAGCCTCTGCTCCAGAACCCTTCACCTTCAGTAGCTTCGCTACAGATGACATAACAATGTCATCTGCCAGTTCCCTCAGGACTCATGGATGCACCTCATCAGGTGCCATGGACTTGTGCACCTTTGGGTTTCTCAGATGGTCTCGAACCTGATCTTTTCCCACAGTGGTCAGTTCTTCTTTCTCCCAGTCCGCGCTTTTGCTATCTGTGACTTGGGCAGTGTGGCTGGAGCACTTGTTGTGAAGACTGAGGCAAACAAGTTGTTGAGTACCTCAGCCTTCTCCATATCCCAGGTAGCCAGGTCTCCCGTTTCCTTCCAGAGAGGGACCACATTTTTCCTAGTCTTCCTTTTATCACTGACATACCTATAGAAGCTTTTCTTGGTGCCCTTGAGGTGCCTGGCCAGATTTAATTCTATCAGGGCTTTAGCTTTCCTAACCTGATCCCTGGCTGCTCGGACAGCTTCTCTGAATTCCTTCCAGGCTACCTGTCCTTGCTTCTGTCCTCTGTAGACTTCCTTTTTGTGTTTAAGTTCACCCAGGAGCTACTTGTTCATCCATGCGGGCCTCCTGGAGTTTTTGCCCAACTTCCTCTTTGTTGGGATGCATTGCTCCTGAGCTTCAAGGAGGCAATCCTTGAGTATTAGCCAGCTTTCTTGGGCCCCTCTTCCTGCCAGGGCTTTATCCCGTGGTACCAAGGAGATCCCTGAAGAGACCAAAGTCTTCTCTGCTGAAGTCCAGGGTAGTGAGCTTTCCGTTCACCCTCCTTGCTGCCCTAAGGATCTTATATGCCACCACTTCATAGTGACTACAGCCAAGGCTGCCCTTGAACCTCACATTCCCCACCAGCCCCCCCTTGATGGTGAGAACAAGGTCTAGCATAGCACCTCTCCTTGTGGGCCTCTCTATCACTTGGAAAAGGAAGTTATCATCAACACAGTCCAGGAACCTCCTAGATTGCTTATATCCTGCTGTGTTTCTCCTCCAACAGATACCTGGGTGGTTGAAGTCCCGTAACAGGATCAGGCTGCTCCTATCTGTCTATAGAGGGCCTCATCCACTTGGGCTTCCTGGTCGAGTGGCCTGTAGCAGACCCCAACTATAATGTCACCTGTCCCTGCCGTGCCTCTAATCATGACCCATACCATAAGCTCTTGGTCGACTCCTCATTCATTCCCAGGCAGAGCTCCATGCAATTCCACTGGTCATTGACAGAGAGGGCAACACTCCCTCCTTGTCTCCCCTACCTGTCCTTCCTAAGGAGCCTGTATCCTTCCGCTGCAACACTCCAGCCATAGGAGCCATCCCACCACATCTCCATGATGCCAATAAGAGCACAGCATAGCAGGCATGCGCATGTCTCTAACTCCTCTTGTATATTCCCCATGCTGTGTGTATTTGCATAGAGACATTGGAGTGGGCCCCTGATGAAGCTAACTTACTGGCTGGGGTGGCTAGAATTCCTTTGTGCTGCTCTTCAGGTGCTCTCCTGCTGCCCTGTGATCCTTCTCCAGGCTCTGGGCATCTGTTGCTGGCACTGGCATCAAACTGGTAGACATGGAATGGATTGAGGTTCCAGTCCACTGGCAACTTTAGTTTAAAGGCCCCTTCACCAGCTTGGCAAGCCTATGACCGAAGATGCTCTTCCCCTTTTATGACAGGTGGACCCCATCAGCCCCCAGTACACCAGGTTTCTCAAAAGGAGTCCCAAGGTCTAAGTAACTGAACCCCTAGCTGTGGCACTAGTCCCATAACCATTTGTTGATTCTCCAGATTTGACTGTCCCTTTCAAATCTCTTCCCTGTGACTGGGAGGACTGATGAAAAAACCATCTGTGCTCCAGAGTCCCTTACCACCTCTCCCTCTCTCCCTTACCTTACCTCTCTCTCTCTCTTACTCTGCTTTGTAGCCCCTCCTGATACTCCTCTGGCTGCTCCTGGCTGTATCACAGGTGCCCACATGTAACACTAAATATTGTGGTTTGATTTTTAGTTACTCTTTCTGGTTTTCAGTTCTGCTTTTCTCATGGTCAGAAGAAAAAGATGAACTTCTGTCGGATTCCAGTAGGAATGGACTAATGTGTCTGGTTTTTTGATGCTCAGGGTTACAACATCAGCAATAGTCCCCTCTGGTAGATGAACCTTCAAAGGCTTGTTTAGGATGAGGGATAGGGAGATGATTTTCTTATCTTCTAAACTTGTGCCAAGTAGAAAGTTCCAGAGGAATTACGTGTTGAATGTAGTCCATTATTTTGAAAACCTCATCCCAGGTGGCAGCCTTGTTTCCTGGAAGGAAAGATCTTGCAGGCAATTAATTCTGTGAAAGCTGAGAAACCAGCGGAATATATGGCCCTTTTTAACCATTAGACCTCCTAGTTAGATGTGTCAGGTAAGATTTTCCAAAGCATAATTGTCAGCAAATAGAGCTGCAGGAAGAAAGACATTTGAAATGTGGGTGTATGGGAAGGCGCCAAAAGCCTACACCCAGGGTCAGGGTCAATGTGAGAACTACAGTGCAGAGTGCAGATACCTCAGTGGGTAGAAGCCTGGCAAAACCACAGAAAGTTAGTTTCTGCACTGCAGTGGTCATCATGTTCACTTCTTGCATGAGAGGTGTCATGCTATAAAGTGTGCAGAAGAAAATCCTTCATAGTCTCCTTCACCCTCCTGAGGAACAAAGCCCATTAACATTAAGTTTTCTCTCTTTTTCTTTCTAATAATAGAGTTGAAGCTCTAGCATCCTAGGAATATAGGAAATACAAATAGGGTAGGGAACAATAATATCTTCTTAGATGAACTGATATACTCAGAAAAGAAACCTGCTACATAGTAGTTTATTCTGACGGCCAGTTAGAACCCAGAAGACAAACTATTTTTTCCAGCTGGGTCAATAGTTCCAGTAAAACATGCTACCTGCCTAGGATGACTGCATATGAGGAAGAATAATTAGTTACCTCTAAAAAAAGGAATGTTAATCAGTCATTTTGTGTGATGATATTCATTGCACTGCATAGAGAAACAGAGACAAATGTATTTGAATAATTTCTTGTGTTACATTTCAACCACTTAAAATTCAGTGAGAAATACCCAAAGAGCTCAAGAAGAAAGAGCAGAAAGACAGGAGACAGGTGAAAGCTTAGAACCCAAACTACACAAAACGAAGGATTCTTCTCCTTCTCTGAAGCTTCAGCAAGGCTTCCTTCACTTGCTTGTTCCTGAGACTGTAAATCAGTGGGTTCAAACTGGGGCTGACGAGACTGTAGAAAAGGGAAAGAACTTTCTCCCTCCCAGATGAGTTGTTGCTCCTGGGCCCCATGTACATGAAGATGGCATTTCCATAAAACAGACCTACGACGGTCAGGTGGGAGCCACAGATGGAGAACGTTTTGTGCCATCCTGGTGCGGAGCGGACGCGCAGAATGGTGGCCAGGATGTGCAGGTAGGAAACTAGGATTAAAGCTACAGGGAAGAGGAGGAAGCACACACAAACAGCAAAGATCAGGACTTTATTGGGAGTAGTGTCAGTGCAGGCCAGCTTTAAGACAGCAAGGATTTCACAGAAGAAGTGGTCAACCTCGCAGGGGCCACAGAAAGGCAGACGTAAAGCCAGAGAGGCTTGCAGTGTACCAAATACGAACCCAAAAGCCCATGAAACTGCGGCAAGATGGAGGCACACCCTCCAGTTCATGATGAGGGCATAGCGGAGGGGATGGCAGATTGCCACATAGCGGTCATAAGACATCACAGCTAGCAACACGCACTCTGTAAGTGCGAAGATTAGGTAAAGGTGTATCTGTGTCCCACACCCAGCAAAGGAGATGGTTCTGCCTTGTCCAAGGAGGTTCCTCAGCATATGAGGGACATTGTTGGAGGCGTAGCAGATGTCCACAATGGAGAGGTGGCAGAGGAAGAAGTACATGGGGCTGTGGAGGCGGTAGTCCAGACAGATAAGCACAAAGACAAGTGCATTTCCCATCAGGGTGGTAGAGTAGAGGACAGAGAAAAGGCCAAAGAGGCACAGCCGCAGAGCTGGGTTACTGGAGAACCCCAGGAGGATGAATTCTGTGACAGTTGTTTCATTCTGCATGATGTGTTGAAGGTGAGGCAGCACAAACTGTGACCACGGAGATCTGGAAGAGTAAAATCGAGGAAAAGGAAAGAAAATGGAGAGGTTTCCTAAGAACGTAGTGTCCTTTACCCTTTAGACTGCAGCTCCCTTCTCCTTGTTTTTCCCTCTGACTCCCGTGGAAGGTGCGTACTACCCTCACCACGCTGAGCGATGTAGATCTGAATTGCAAGCTCTAATGTCTTCACAAACTTTGAGCAGTTTTGAGCAATCTTGCACCATTTTACTGCCTAGCTTGCCCTTGATAACTGTCTTTATCTGGGTTGTTTTTCTGGGGGGAGTATGGGGGGGTTTCTCTGTTGGAGAAAATAACAGGTTTCTGTCATGATGAAGCTTGCAGGTGTGGATTAAGGTGAAGTCAGAACAACCTCAAAACAGCTATTTTAAATTAAGTCCATATTAAAATGAATGCACAGTTCACAGAATAATTCCAATTTTACCATTTTCTAATTCATTGCTGAGTCCTCTTTACCTTAGTGAAACGCATTCATACTGAATCCTGCAGTTGCTTGATCCGTTATTCTATACCTAACTTCACTTCATATTACTGAACAAACTCAGAGCTACACTTGGATGTGCAGCAGATAATTATTGCTAAAAGAATGTTACTAACATTTACACACAAGAGTTTTCTTACCTGTAGCATCTGGACAAATGTTATTTGTTCAGCTCGGTGTTTTTGGTTAGGGAAATCTTATCAGAAACTTCTGTGTACTTTCAGACAACAGGCAAAACAACACTCTGTTCAGCTCCCTACATTAATTTGTTTTTAAAGCCAAAGTTTTCTGTGTTATGTGTCTGAAGGGACACTGTTTTGATTGCCAACAGGCAGTACAAAAATTAATCTCAAGTATAAATCCCCAGAGTTCCATACCTGAACTCTGGGGATCCTTTCAGAAAGTAAACACCACTTTATTCTGAAATGGACACGGCATTGTACTTGCATAGCATTGTACTTGCTGTCCCTTCATTCATGTGGGTTTCTTTTCTGTTAAACAAGAGTCTGCTCTATCACTCTCCCCTTTCTGCCTTCGCTGCCTCCCCAAACTTTCCTGCCTCCAACAGCATAGAGAGCTTTTTGTCTCTGAGATACTAGCATAGGATAAGTCCTACTCTTAGGAGTTGCCAAATCCAGTATCTCAATGCAGGACAACACTGCTGCAGCTCCATGTCCCCATATTCAGCCAAGCAGTGAGGCTGAGCATGTGTTTTCTAACTGGCACATGTACACGTGCATACATATGCCCTGTCACATAGATCCACACTGATTGAAAACAGAGCCCTCACACGAATACAAACTGCCTTGATCCTATTCTCTCTCAGGCTAATCAGGATGAAAAACACTCAGTGGAGAATATATATATGTATATATATATGTACCCACAGAAGCCATATGGGTCCCATCAGTAGCTGACCTTAGACAGCCTATCCAGCACTTGGCCCCAGGATCCCATGGTCTCCCAGCTGCCTCAGGTACAAAACTGCAGGTCTCTTCAGTAGCTGTTCCAGACCTACAACCTTACCAGATCCCCTGGTTTCTCCCACAGTTGACTTGGGCCTCCCAGTCCCTCCAGTGGCTGACTCTAAGACCCTCTGGTCTCTTCAGCATCTGGCCCAGATCTATGGCCACTCCAGTCCATGGGCTGTGAGCCCCTTATTCTACTTGCTGACTAGTCCGGCTTCATGCTCACTAGCAGATGTATGCACTGACATACACACCCTCACAAGATGCACACACTGTGGTCTCCACAGCTGCTGGTGCCTCAGGTCCATGGTCCCCTATGGCCCAGGGTCCCTTTCCAGTTGCTGACACTTAGACCTTACACACAAAGTAGAGATATCCTCACTCAGGAAAATGGAAATGGAGTTTAGCAAGAAGACAGGACAGACTGTGGTGACATCATGGGCAAATCAGAATAAACAACAACCCATAGTGTATCTAGATTCTGGGTTTTATTTAACAACCAAGATTAGCCCCTTCTTGATTATTTCTCTCTCTCTCACACACACACATGCACGCACACGCTCAGGTGAGCTGGTGACGTTCAGCACATACACAGTGCTACAATCCAGAGACAGCAACTTCCCTTCCCAGGAAAGCAGGGAGGCTACTGCAGGTCCGGGAAGGCAGAAGACTTTGCCTTGGTTCCTGCTGTGCATCTGCTTGCCACTACCAGTTTTGGAGGTTGCTGGTCAAGCTTCCTGGGTGTCTCCTGGCATTTGTCTCCATGCAGCTCTCTGGTCTCCCAAGTTCTTCCCCCACTTCCAGGATATTTCCTCCACACAAGATCTTCATATTTTAGTTTCTGTGCCCCCTTCTTCTTTTCGAGATCCCGTCTTCTTTTTGAGAATCCTTCTTTTTGGCACAACCTCTTCTTCCTGGGACCCCACGCCCCCAGTTTTCCCAATCTAAATTGTCTATGTGAGTAGTACAATGCCTGATCAGCCTCCTAATTAATGGTTCTCTCTTCTATCTCTTTACTAATTTTAGGATTCAGGACATGCCACTTTTGCTTTTTGCAGGTGTTACTAAAATTTACAACCAGCCCATACTAGTTGCAGTTAGCAAGTAGCAGGCTTCTGCTTGACAGTTCAGAATTCAGTTTCAGACACTCACACACACAGACCTTGCCATACGCATGCATCCAGTCATGTGTTGCCTATTAACATTCACAGTTTAAGCTATTTTTTTGTCTACAACAAGTGTTCAGATGCAGGGCATGGCCAAAGAAGCACATTCCCTCCTTCAGTCTGTGACGTGAGCAGGGGAGAGTCGATACTCATCTGGTGGGTCTCATATCCAGACAATGCGGTTGATCCCTCTCCTGTGACAGCCCTGGGAAAAGCCATATCAGGGCGCTTCGTTGCCTTTGCTGGGGCTTCTCTGCCTGCCATCACTGCTTTGTACTCCTTTGTGGAGATGAACCTTGAACCACACAATCTAACACCTACAACACTAGGAAAATGAGAGGCTGGAGAGGATCCAGTGTTGAAGGTCATTGATGTAAAATGCTGCTTGTGAGAGGCAGGAGACCCAGCTCACCTGCTTGCTCCTGAGCTGCTGTATAAGCAGCACTGTGTGCAGTATGCTCTGTTACACATGTTGTGTCAGTGCCTGACTGCCTGGTCCTGGCTACAGACCTTGTGCTGGGGGAGTACCACCGAGAGCAAGGAGAATGCTTCTTTCTCCATGGAGAGCAAAGATGATGCTTCTTCCCCATGAGCAGCTGAGGATACTCAGCTGAGTGCTGCTGCAGGGGCCAAAGTGGGTCAGGCAGGGAGCAAGAGCAACACAGGAAAGAGGGAGCTGGGAGTAATGGGGCAGACTGGGAGATGGCTGAGAGGATCAAGAACCTTGTACACACAGGAAGAACTTAGAGGAGATTCGATCTGAGGCCCATTGGTTGACCACCCCCTCAAGATCAATATCTTCTCTAGTTAATGAGCTGCCTTGCAGCTTAACTTCCTGTTGTAGAGATCTTGAGTGGGAGATCACTGTACATCAAGGAGTTAGTGATCCACATAGCAGTTAACCTGAACAGGCACGGGTCTGTGCTGTGCTGTATGTGCAGCATGGCCTTCAGGCTGTGTCCCTACACATGTCACTTGCCCTCAGGATAAACTTGGCTGGTTGGTTGTAGCAGAGGAGCCTGGGGGCTCCTGCTTGGCACCAGTGATTGAGTCACCCGTGTGGCCTCACCTTTATTGAATAAAATGCAGCAAGATGGTCTCATGTGAACGTCTGCAATGAATAGGGTTGTTTCCTGCTAAGAAAAATGGTATCATATCTTGAATGACCAAAAAGAAGGAACTTCTCCACAGATAGGATCTGTGCATTGTGCCAAAGGAAAATCTATCTGGGGTCTGTCCGATGCTGCGTGAATGCAGAGTTTTCAGCATCTGAAGGGACATAAAATTTGCTTGCTGCTTATATGCCTCTTCTTATTCTATCTTATTAAAAAAGCTGTTTTATTAAGTCTTTTATTAATCATTCGTGCTGAGGTCCAGAAAGAACCCTGCACTATCTCCCTCTCTCATCTCATCCACCTCCCCTGTGCAGAACATTTGTGTTCTAGTGAAGTCTACCAAGGGTAAAATTTGTTGCCATGAGCAGGAGCAAGATACTCCACACACATGTGGTGGACAGAACAAGACATCACCAGCTTATCGTGCAGAGGTGAAGATCGATGCTAGACTCATGGAAATCCATCTTTGTTGCTGTTACACAGCCACTAATTCTGTGATGCAAAAGCAGCTGTGATGGAGATGAGGTAGTTTAAAATACTGTATGATCTTTCAGGATATTTAGTCCCATCCTGTCCTCCTTCACTCTGCTGTGGTGCTCCCATAGCACAATTTCACTCAGCTTTTAAAGTATCCTGGCCTTACCCATGCTCTGCAATCAAACAGTGACCCTACTGCTCAAAGACTCACAACATGCTAAGCTTTACAGCTCCTCTGCTGCTAGGCATGCAATATCGCTCTTGTCCATGCTGCAGGCTCACATTTTACAGCTGACACCTCATCAGCCCTGCCACTGGTGCAACCTACTCAGCATAGATCTTCCACTCCAAAAAGGGACCAGCAGTGAGGCTCACACCCCTTTGATGAGCATGGCCCCATCTAGAATACGTCCTGTTACAGTCAAAGATGCACCAAGATCCCACAAGACCCCTGCTGCACCCACATGAGTTGGTATGGTGAACGCAAGCTGGGCTGCCTTGGAAGGGTTTCCAAGTGCCTGGAGCCAGGGCTGGGGACAGAGGTGAAAAACGTGTATACCTTTCTCCTTGATTGGTTGCTAGCCCTAACTTGGATATTTTGGAACAACTCATGACACAAGTGAGGTTCAACAGTGCCTCAAACCTCAGCTCCATAACTATTGTGGTAATAATCAGTGGTGTGAGTGCTTATTTTCTTTTGAACGTCTTCTGCTGTTCGTGGCCTCTTAAAAGCTAAGCTTATGGCATAACTGGATTTCCTAACAATATTAGCCATAGTAAAATTTCTTGAGCTCATGGCTGAAACAAATGTTTCAAACATGAAGCAAGCCTTTCTGAAAGGCTGCTAAACTATTCCAAGTTTACTGAAACATGCATCTAATGGTTTGAAGACAATCTCCTTGTGTTTGGGAAAAGGAAGGTCATGACACAGGGCATTGGAGATAGTGACTGGAGACTGATCCTGCATCCACCCAGTTCAGGAGCTTATTCTGGACTACTGTCCCTCAGAGTACAGCAGTACCATACAATAATTTGATTGTTCAGCCTTCTGGATTAAACACAAACTGTCATTCACAGACGCGCCAGTGCAGATCAAATGCTTATCCTCATACCAGGAGATCTCACCTGGTGGCAGAGAAGGTTGCTGAACCTCATCATCCTATTCTGTATCAAATCATATTTTTGACTGCAGTTGTGCTTGTTGTGAATGGCACACTGCTAAGTCCTACACTTATCACTCCTGGGCACACTACACATTTGGAACTTTACATCTGGTCTGTCCATACTTTTTCTCGTGGGAGTGATTTGAACTCCTTGCATACCTGGTTGCACGGCTGGAGCCCAAGTGCTGTTTCCACTGAGGTCATAGGAAAGATTTGTTTTCACTTCCAACCTCTTAAAAATCCTTGATCCATCTATTATTCTGCTTAGAGCACTACGAGAGATTTAGTTTGTCAATTGTCTTTTGCCATTCCCATTTGCCATATTACCACCTCAGTTCAGAACAAAATTTTGTTATCTCTCTCAGTGCCTTCCCACTTTGTGCCACTAAAGCCTGTGGAATATCCCCCAGTTGTAGGAGCTCTGAAGTCCTGCATATCCTTATATTTCTTGCTATTGAATTATATTAACCCAGAGAACAATGCTGGATATTTAGTGCTGATTTTTTTTTTAATTTCAGTCTGTTCAGTTGGGAATACAGAAAATTAGAATATAGAAACTAAGGAAAAACATAGTTTGCTAAAAATTCAACCAAGAAGTTGCTAATTGAACCAGGTCTAGGCTTACAGGGAAGGTCAAGATTATGAACTATCAAATAATCTAAATAACAAGGCCTGAGAGATGGCATTTCTTTATATTCTGAACTCTTCAATGACAATTCCGACAGTGTTACCTCACGGGTTTCCGTTTTATGTCATATTACATATTGCATCTGGTTGAATCACTGATTTCCTGGCCCTGAAGTCTGCCTTGTGACTCGCAACCCCAATTGCGCGAACAAGGATTTACTGTGTTAATGTACTTTGTTATTTACAAATAATTCCAAAGAACTGTTAATGTATTCTTGAAAAATGTGCATTTATTTGGGTTTGAACATTAGACTTCCCCAGCCCCCACTTGAAAATGAAACAGTTTTCCAGTCATAATATTGAAAAAGACACTTTCGGTAATTTTCAACAAAACTTCCCTTTTTTTTTTTAGGAAGAAGAGCTTTTAACTATATAATTGCATTGAAGCTTTCCTTCATTTATTTTCTTTAATTTATGAATTAAAACTCTGGAGTTCATAGTATTTTCTTATGTCCCATTAATGATACTGTTACCAATTAGTCCTACGTTTTGATTTACTGCAAAGACTATGCCCCAGAGATCTCACGGGTTGTATAAAGGTGTGACTTCTTTGAATTGCAGGTACTCAGAAGTCTTGTTCTGTACCCTGCATTTCTAACAGCTAGATTTTCTCCTGAGAGGAATATAGTTACAATGTCTATACCTTTTCTTTTTCCAGTCTTTGTCAGGGAGATAGGAAAGACTGCTTCTGACATTTCAGGAAAGGAATTAACGGCAAGACTGAGCAAAGTTTGCATCTGTCTGTGATTTCGGAGTTGTCATCAAAGGTATGTTTCTCTAGGTAAGAAATTCCAGCACCTTCTGCAAGTCACCATTCAGTTCCTGATATTACACATGTAGGTAAGCTGAGCCGTAGGGTCCTGAGAACTACAAAGTTCCCAATGATTTCTAGAGCAGTGCGACTAGTGTCAGTGATCAAGGATTTAGCCTTGTTTTCTCTCTTTTACAGCACTACTGGTGTGAAAGAAACAGTCCTCTGATTTTGTCTGTCCTCATATTTCACTCTGCATTGTGATGAAGCTGTTGATGATAGCTAGGTTTTACTTAAAAAATTTAAATATAGTTAAATGAGAAAGAAATGGCTTGCTGGATTTTATTTTGCACTGCTAGATGAACAGTGAAGATATTGTCCAAGCATAAACCTCTCTTTTCCTTCCCCTCCATTTAAACTGCCTCTTTTGAATACTGTTGGACTTCTAGATCCTCTAGTCCCACAATACCAAATTTTTTTATTTAGTGAGATAAAAACCACTGAGATTTCATCCTCAAAAAAGCCTCAAATGATTTTTACCCTGTGTGTTCAGTGCTATTAGACTGAGCTGCTCTTCGCACTTTGGAGTAAGATACTGAACTTGGTTTTCTTACCAATTTACTTTGTACTGAAGGAACAGCAACTAAATGTTTTATAATACTACGTTTAATAATATTCCTAAACTGACAGGAGAGTTTGCAAAGAAATAGGGAACTTAAAAGGAAACAAAGTACTCTTGCTTGCTGTAATTACTGCTTCACGAAATACTGTCCATTTGTGTCAGAGGACTGCTCACTGCTGTTATACTGTGATTTGGGCATTATGCAGGGGAAACAGTTTTGTTACTTTTCTCTACCATTCATGCCAGATTTCTTTTTGACAATGACCTCTTTCTAGATCAGAACCTTTATGATGAATAAAACCAAAGTGATGGAGTTCGTCTTGATTGGATTTTCAGATTTTCCAGATCTGCAGATTCCGTTATTTGTCTTTTTTTTCCTGACTTACCTGGTCACCCTCGCTGGAAATGTCCTACTAATGACAGTTATCAGACTTCATCATCATCTTCACATCCCCATGTATTTCTTCCTTTCCATTCTCTCTTTTTCAGAAACTTGCTACACGTTTACTGTCATTCCCAAGATGCTGGTAAATCTAATAACAGGAAAAAAGTCCATTTCTTTCACTGGATGTGCTGTTCAGATGTTTTTCTTTGTTGGCTTTGCAGGCACTAACTGTGTGCTTCTAACAGCAATGGGGTATGACCGATGTGTTGCTATATGTAAACCATTACATTACAAAGTCATCATGAATGACAGAGTCTGCAGTTAGCTGGTGGCCTTTGCAACAGTGACTGGCTTTACCTTGTCCCTGATAGATACCTACTTTATATTCACATTGCCTTTCTGTGGAGAGAAGGCAATTCACCACTTCTTCTGTGACATAGCTCCTGTCATTCAGGCAGCTTGCACAGAAAATAATGGAATTGAGATAGTAATTTTTATTTTTTGTGTTGTGGTTGTGTTTGGCTCATTCTTCTTGATTCTTCTCTCGTATGTTTTGATCTTCAACACCATCCTCAAGATCCCCTCTACTGAGAGGAAACGTAAAGCCTTTTCCACTTGTGCCTCCCATCTCACTGTGGTTGTTGCGCACTTTGGGTGCGCCTCCATCGTCTATTTAAGGCCCAAATCTACCTATTCCCTAGAGGAGGACACTCTGATTTCTGTCACTTACACTGTGGTGACTCCCTTGCTGAACCCTGTGGTTTACAGCCTGAGGAACAAGGATGTGCACCTGGCCCTTCGGAAACACCTGGGAAGAAAATTGTGCAAATAAATGAGGTTAAGGTAGCTCCTTGAGGTTCTGGTGTGAATGGGGTCTTCCTCTAGGTAGATGGCTTTGTACTTTGGCACTAAAAAAAGAGGGTACAATTCAATATGGAATAATGCTGGATGCAAAGCTGGGTAATCCTAAAATAATTGGTTATAGGACAAATTGCATTACTAAAAGCAGAAATGCAGCTATCGCTTACTGCCAGCTACGTTGCTTACTGGGCAATGAAAAGATCATTGTGATGTCTTAAAAAGTAAAGGATTAGCGTGGTACCTGACCATTTGGATAACTGGGTCTGTATGAGACATTCACTGCCTTCATTAGCCTTTCTTATCCCCATGCTGGCTTTCACTTCAGAGCCAGACATCATTCCTGCACACAAAGACTCATAGAAGAAGTTAGACTCGAAGGGACCTCTGGGGCTCACCTGGCCCAGCATCCATTTCTGAAGCAGGGTACCTCCTGACACACGCTCCTTTGCATGACTGCGTCATTCTTACCAGGCCCTGAGATCACCAGTGTGCTCCTGAAGAACAGTGTTTGGTTCCTCATTTCATACCACCCTGCAGAGGGAAGAAGAAGAACGAGCTTATCCTTACGACCCAGATGGGTGTAGAGCTGTTCAATGCAGTATGGGTGTCCTTCACCCCAGCTGATGATGACCTCTCCCCAGAGAACAAAGCTCCTGCAGCTTCATCAGTCCTATGTCACAGAGTGACCCTCAACCCCCAAGTAGGTGGCCATTAGCTCCACATCCATTTACGCTGCATTTAAGCTGAGACTGTTGGAGAGCAGATGGGCATCTGACTTTTCTCCTCTTGGACACTTGGTGTGAGATTGAGGAATACCTGTTCATGTGGAGTTTACCAGTTCTCTGAGCGCAGGGAAACTGACTGGCTCTCTCACACCCTTCCACTCTGTGGTGGTAGGCTAGACTCCCTAAAGCTGAAGCACAGCCAGAGAAAAGGACAAGAGTGACTGTGACTTGCTCTTGCTATTTTGATTTGCTCTCTTTGTCTTGGTGGGAGAGACACAAAGCTGTTGTTAAGTCGAGCCAGGGAGCTGATCTGTCTCTGATTGCCCTCTGTGGGAAAGCATCTGCCCTAGCTACTCCACACAGCAAAACATCATCCTACCTCGTGGCCGGCCTGGCTGCGCACACCCAGAGCAGAGCATGAGGGAGCAGTATGTATCTCAATGATGGGGATCCAGCATCTTTCGGGGGGGCTGGGTCTTCTACTGCTCATGTCCGAAGCTTGCTTCCACTTGTCTCCCCCAAGGCCTTCCAACCCAGTCACACTCAGCAAGATTGGAAGCAAACACCAAGTTACTCGGTGCCCATGCAAGTACCTCATTCCCATGTGAGAAAGGTGCTGCTTGAATCTCATGTTCTCCCTTCCTGTGCACACATAATAGAGCCCTGCTGAAATCACTCCCTTTCTAACCACATTACAAACCACAATAAAATAACTTGCTGAGATGACATGTCACCCTTTGGCCAGAAAATGTGAGCCTGTGCTCCACCTCACTGTGATGTTCCCCTGGACTCCCTGTGGCTCACCCAAGCCAAGAGCACAAGATGTGGGTGCCTTTCTTTTCAGACCTTCCTTCAAATCACAGGGCATGATTGCCATCGCAGGCCAGGACTGCAGGAGCTTCGTCTTTCACAGTTCCACAAAGGCCAGGTCCACAAGGGCAGCTAAGCATCCACATGGCAGCTAATTTTTGGTACGCTACGCAATCAAGTGCTTTTTCCCATCTCCACCTCCCGGCAGCCAATTGATGTTTTCTCAGCAGTAATCTCTGTCTGGTTTGGTCCTTGGGGAAAGCTTCTGGGATTTGGAGTTTGGGGAGGGATTTCATAGTGGGTCTCTCACAAGAATCACTTCATCCCTAAGACGGCAAGAGAAGCATAGCTGAAGAGCATAACAGGAAAGGGAAAAGCAAGAGAAAGTGGAACTTCTAGGGAACAGCAGTTGATGGAGGAGTGGATGGAAGAACGCATGAGGAACTGGCTGACAAGGAAACTGCACCTGAGCTAGGTAACGGGTGAAATCCCAGCTTTTATCTGACACCGATCGGACAACAAACGCTACAGCAGCGGGTGGTGGTGGTGCCTGGCCTACCGTGCAGGTGATGCACTACCAGAGCTTGAGCCGAGCACGGAGGTCTCATCACCCCACTCAGAACTTGGAGCCTGCGGGCCGAGGCTCTGCCTGCCCAAACGGCTCAGGAGAGGGTCCCATGGTGCCCAGTGAGGCGCCGCACGGGGCGTCATTAAGGTGTCAGCCTTTGAACGATAACAAGTCTGACGGGGCTGCTGCAAGTGGCACGGGTGATTCCCAGTGCTGCTGTTGTGCTGCGAGACAGGCCACAGTGGGGGTTGTTAAAAGTTAAGGCTTCTTGTTTTGCAAAGCAGTTACACGTCTGTTGGTGACAGTGTTAGGGACTGGCCATGCAGGGCCCCCAGGCAATGCTTGGTGAAGCTCCCGGGGCTGTGAGCAAAGCCAACACAACAACAGGCAGTTCCTCCTCGAAGACAAGGACAGATGACGAGCTCTGCTTCTCTGCCTTCCTTGGCCATGAGTAACCAGTAACATTTGGTCTGCAGCTCTGCCCTTCTGCCACAGCCTGAAGGTCTCTGGGCACGGCTGCTGCTGGCATGGGGATGCAGGCATGGCAGATGTGGTGGGGGAAGAAGGCTCCAAGTTTTTGCTGTGACTCCCACCTGCCTTTGGAAAGATCAAAACTGCCCCATTTCTTCTCTTTATGCATGAAAGGCGTAACCAAGAGGGCTCTTCCTGGCCACTAACTCTGGCTCTTCCTGTGCCCTGTCCCAGCAGATATGGGACTTTGTCCTCTCCCACTTTCCCATGTTGGCCATGATCATTCTCACTATAGGATCCAGGATCCTCTTCTGTCTAAAACATTGAATGACCAGCCATGTGCCACTGCTGACCCTCTTCCCTCTCAGCACTCATTTCCTTCCTTCCTTTGCATCTGTTTTCTCTCCATTCATGTGCCTGGAAGGCTCTGAAAATGCCTGATGCCATTTACAGCCGGTCTGAAGGGGCCCCGTCTGAGTGCCTTTGCTCTGCCCAAGCTTGTCTGCCAATCACCCCCATGCTGGAGAAAGAGCACGGTTCTTCTCATGTTATGAAGGACAAGGACAAACTTGCAGAGAGGACTGGAAGTCACTCCGCCAACGGGGCCATTAGCAGAGAGGCTGTAGGCAGTGGCAAGGCCTGGACTTTGAATGTTTCACAGTCAGCTTCTGTTCTCCCCTCCTCCACTCCAGTCTTGCCCCATAGCTAGAAAACATACCTTGCCATTAATCAAGTGCAGAATATGGTTGTAAAGAAAACGAGAAAGAAAACCCTTGTTGGAAAGAAGTGGCCAGAGAGATCCTCGCCCTTGAAAAATTTGAAAATTCCTTTTTTAAAGACAAGTTGTAGTGCAGTTGTTTAAGACGCCTCAGACTTGAGTATCAAACTTCAGGATACATTATCCCATAGGCCTTTCTCATGCCAGGTTATCTTCTGCTGCACACAAGGGAAGGAGACAACAAGAGCACTGGCTATCTTTGGCTTGTTTTCAGAAGTCCAGGTATGGAGTGCCTCTTTAAAATTTGATTGACCCTTTGTTTTAGCTGTCAGACTTGGGGTTCGAGCTGCCATGAGCCCAAGAGCTTTCATGCCCTCCCCACCCAGGAAGGGCAAACGCAGCTGGACTGTGGGGCACTGGCTGTCTCTCCCGTACTCCCCCTTGGGTCGGCGCAAGAGAAACCTCCAGGACGCTCTGCTCTTCCAGAAACATTCCCCCTC